TTCCCTGCCTGGAACAGCAATGTGATAGTGGGTGTTGGACCTGTGATGAAAGGAGCCTGGCCTCCTGCACCAGCTCAGAGGGAGATGCACTTCTGTCTTATTTCAGCTGTGGCTGTTGGGGCACCTTTGTATGGCACCTGAACCAACAGCCTCACTAATATACTCTGCCTCACTGAGTCATCTGCTTACTGTCCTCACTGCTTTACCCACTGCACCCACCTCCAAGAGGCTCCCTCTACCGGTAACCTCGTGGAGGGGTGAGTGAGATGGGTCTAGACAGAGAAGAGAAACCAGGTGAGGCAACATGACTGAGGTAGCAGCCATCAGCGCTCAGACAATGTGGACTCCAATTCTGTCTTCCCTGTTAGTGCCATCCCCTCCAAAAGACCCTCCCGAAAGGAAGTGGCTGAACATTCCCCTGGGGCTGTCCTCTTCCCATTCCCTAGTTCCTCCCTGGCCTCACCACTGGTGCTAAGCCAAGAGATCTGGGTCAGCAGCTGACCAATGTCTGCCATGCCCAGCATGAAGCACAAAAGCCCCTACACAGCCAGAGTACACATAGTACTGGGATGAAAGACTGCAGACAGATGACCTTGAGTGCAGGCTCTCTGTAGCACCCACACATCCTAAGTGGTTTAAACCTTCAATCCTGTCTAGGGTAGGTACTCTTGTTATCCTCACTCTATAGGAAAGGATGTGAGGCACAGAGAGTTTAAGTAAAAAGCGCAAGGTCACACAGCCGGTAAGTGGTGGAGTGTTAGAAACAGGCCATGTGGTTCTGCAACTTGAGCTATGAGTCACTATGAGGGAGTGGCTGCCCTTGGAAAGGGCAAACAGAAGATAACACAAATGAACTCATAAATGGATGAGGAAGATAAAGACTGTTCAAAACTCTGGCTATAGCACTAACCACCAGAACACCTGGCACTCAGGAGGGGCTGCTGCCTCACCGTGGCCCAGGCAAGTTCAGGGCCACCTGACCCTGCATAAGGAAGGGGGCAAAGGGAATTCAGCCTGTAAGCTAGGAATCTTCCTCGACACCCTCTCCCTGACCCCTTCCCCTTGCCCTGCCCTGGTCCCAACCTGAAGGCCTCAATGAGTCGCTCCACCTTCTGAGCTTCCCCCTGGACCCGGATGTGTGCCTGGAACTTCCTGAGGGCTTCATCCAGCTCCATGGTAGAGAAGTCCATCTCATCCACCACGCAGCTGAAATGGGACAAAGGCCATGTCAGGGTCCTCTGCCTGCACAGCCTCTGCTGGCCTTCCCATTAGGGAAGGTGAGCACATGCTTGCAGAGGGTAAAGCACAGATGGGGTTGGTGCAGGAAGGGCTGTGAGCCACCCTGAGGGCAATGGGAACAGGGCTGCCGCTTGTCTGAGAGGGCCCTCCACTTGACTTCCTCCAATCAGCAAACACTTCAGATTATGGCCAAAGATCCCCATGCTTCCAAGGTGTCCATGAACCCCTAAAACTAGGAAAATGTTGGTGCTTATATCTATGAGTGCAATTTTACATACAGGAAGCCACAGCATATGGCTATTCTCGATAAGGCCCGTTGGTGCAGAAAACACGTTTCCAAGCATGTATGTTACACTAGGAACATAGCAGAAAAAATGCACAAGTCTTCTCATGTTCTGTGAGGGAGGTGAAGAGCACGCTTCCATCTTCATGAGGAGGAAGTGGAGAACGGGGCACTAACCTAACAAGCAGCGATCTCAAACTGAGCCTGTCCCCTCATGTCAAGGGTATGGGGAAAGGTGGCTGGGTTTGGCTGGGAGTTTTTGAGAGGTGCTTCTGAGGGGTGGTGCTGTTCTTGTCTGCCAATCAGAGGAATGGAGAGCAGAGCTTAGGGAGTCTTCTGGTAATCAGCTTTTGGTTGGTTCTAATCTTATCACAGTCCCACCTCATAGTACAGGCTGCTTTGCCCTCTGATCAGGATCCCTAAACACAGAAGGTGAGGTCTGCACAAGGGACCCATGTGGCAGGCTCTGGTGTCTGGTTTATCTGTTTGTAATGAAGCCATGGTTACCCCTTGGGGGCTGCAGGGGCCTAGGCCATGGGAGACCCAATCTCATTCTCAGGGTCCACCCTCTGCTAGGGATGATGGGCCTGGAATAAGCTATGGTGACCCCAACCTTCTCTGAGCACTCAGGGACTCTTGAGGCAACAACCTTTGTGAGGAAAGGGAGGGGCCACATGGGACAATCTGCTGACCAGCATCAGATTAAGATGCTGGTGTGGAGAGTAGGGCCAAGGGGAGTTTCACTACTTCTGGAGGCTGCTATTTTCTGATCTAAGGAGAACATGCACGGATCTCCAATGGACCAGAAGCCACTGTGGAAAGGGGCACAGAGGGAAGCACAGTAATGGCTATAGGGGTGGGGGGACTAGACCGAGATGGTCTTGGGCCTGATTCATGAAGGAACTGATCTGCTTTCCCCTGAACCATTTCCTCACACTGGTTTAAAAGTGGGGAGAGGGGCATTAGCCATACTAACAACACAGCAGACTTTTCCCAATGAGGCCAGAACTGAAACTCTGAGCAGGAAGAAAGCAGCCCAGGTGAGCAAGCCTGGCCAAAGAAGGACACAGATGTAATTCGGCTAGGTGTTGGCAACATTGCTAGCCACATATCAGCTACCAACAAAGGCCCTACCTCACTGCATCTTCTGTGCGTGTCTGCGTGTGTGTTGTGTATATGACTGAATGAGTATGTACATGCATATGCTCATTGGGAAGGGTGGCACCCAGGCTAGTCCCTCCCCCTCTGACCCTGGGTTTTCTCACCTGTGGTACAAAGAGGCCACAGCACCCACCCACCTTCCCCAGGGAAGCATTAGAGGCAGCAGGTGCACATGTGGCCAGGCCCTTCTTCATTGCAGAGATGGCCTGATCCCAGGGGCTAGAGAGATGAAAGGCACTGCCGTTGTTACTGATGATTAACTCTTTACCCTGCTTTGATTTCTGTTCCTGGACTACCTGCCCAGGGTCAGCCATATCAGCTAATATCTGCCTGGGTCAAAAAAATCCTCAACAGGCCTAGAGATATTCCCCTAGGCAGAGTGAGCAGGATACCTTTACCAAGCTATCCCATTCTATTGGCTTTGGTTCCTCATCTGTGAAAGGGAGTCATCCATCCCCGATACCCACCCCCGAAGATGAGATGAGGACACAGGGCATGAACATAGTAAATGCTTTATAAAGACAAGCATCAAATGCAGCTGCTTTTTTACTCAGGATAGTCTCAAGGAGGAATGGAGAGATTCAGCGTACATGCTGGGCAGGACTTCTCAAAACTGCCAGCAGCTCCTAGGGAACTGGAAACTTGTTTTTCTGCAGGATTCTGAGTAGCTGAGTGCTAGAGTACCCAGCAAAATGGGTTGGTGGGGTATGGGGTCAGGAGGTGGGGGTTAGACTCTCACACGCCCAGATCTCCCATCCAGGAGAAACAAGAGAGAGAGGCAGGGACAGAGCTCTGGGTATGGGACTGCCCACCTTGGAGGTGCTAGGGTCTCTCTGGGCCAGCTCCCCCTACTCCCTCTGAGGGTATATACCAGGGTCCTGACCTCCGATTCCACCCCTCCACCCTGCCCCGCCCCCCGCCCCAGTGCTGGGTGACTCAGCCTGACTGGAAAAGGGTGGAGGTGCTAAGGGTACATGTAGTGAGGGCACCCAAGGGTGGATGCTCACGTGTATGTATTGCAAGGTATGATGTGTAAAATGGTCTGGGGGCATCTAGGATATAGAAAGAGGTAAGGGAGGATTCAGTGCATGTCTCAGCAGGTAGGATGAATCTGACAGGTCATGGAGTCTGTCACAGAGATACGTCCAACTCCCAGCCCCAGAACTCACTCTAGCACGTCCCGGTTGAATTGCTTTTGCCGGTTGCCCAGGAACTCGCCAATCATCTGCCGGCTCAGGCCCTTGCGCTGAAGCAGGAAGTGGGCCACCCCCACTGGCGTGTCAGGCACAAAGCCACGCTCGATGAGGTATTGGACACCCTTCTCAGGCTTCCTGCGGGGTGGGACAAAAGACAGGCTCAGCCCTGGCAGCCCCGGCCCCTCCAGGCTTGCTCTCCAATTCCACAGGTACTCAAGGTGCCCCAGCCAGACCTGAGAGACTCCAGGAACCCTTTCCTGTTGCACTCCGAGCCTGCAACATGGGGGAATCCCCAAACTGCCCAGACCCTGTACCAAGAACAGGCAAGACTGGGACAGCCACAGGAGCATGGCCATGGTTGTTGGAGTAGGGACCCTCCCCCACTGCCCTGCACTGCCCCAAACATTGGCCCCATACAGAACCAGCCCCTGCCCACACAGCTCTATGCTCCCGAGTTGGCGTGGGGTCAGCCAAATCACCCACCAACTATAGGCCGGACTTGCCCCTTGTCCCAGCTGGCAAAGGTCAATGTTCTGCTGTCCCCTGGGAGCATGGAGGTACAGGCCAGAGTCAACCTGCCCCATCAACCATGCATGTCTTGCTAACAGCAGTGTCCAGCAGATACTAGATTTCCAAATGCAAGCAAAAGTGAACCTCTTGCAGCAAGGTGACTTTGCTATTTTTATCTTGGGACCACAGTCTGATCTTGTTCTCAGGAGTTGGGCAGGGAGCAGCTGCTGAAGAGTTGGTTCTTGGCACTGAAGTGGTAACAGAGTAGCCCCATTCCTCCAACCCCTGCCAGGGCCCCGCACATACCCCATTCTCCCCCATGATTCTGGGGTCACTAACCAAGAACCACCCCACATTCCAGGCCTCTCCAGCCACTCAGCCACTGATGCTGTGGCCAGAGTAAGTTATGTTTCCTCACCGACCAGCTCCACACTGGCCCCCACAGGACCCCAGCCCATGCCTGCCTCCCTCCCTCAACTTCTAGGTGAGAGGTCACCCCTGGGCTTGTGTTCCTATGTGGGAATGACTGTAGCACTGGTCTGAGACTCCCTTACTCAGGCGCCCTGTGTCATTCATTCACCCCTGGCCTGCCTGGCCCCTTGAAGCCCTGATATGGTGTCTAGGCCCAGATGTAGCCAACTCCTGCTTCCTCCTGCTTTCCCAGGTGGCTGCTCTCCCTTCTCTGACCCCATCAACTCCCTCTAGTGTTTACACACAATGTTTTGCAGCATCATGGACTTTCAGGATACAGGCTCTTCCATCCTTGAGAAGCTCAAAGCACAATGACAGAGTGGAACACACTGCAGGAAGAAGAGGCTAAGCAAGGGACCCTAAGAATGCAGATTCTTCCTAGATTAAGTGTCTCCTCTGTGCCAGACACCACTCGGGACAACAGCAGGGAGCAGGGCCAGCCATGAATGCCTAGCACAATGGCAGGCTACAATCTACAGTCTGAAGGGCAAAGGGACTGAGTAATGGCCAGAGAATGTGGAGAAGGGCTCCTGCAGGTGAAGCAGAGGCTTTAGAAAAGGGCTCCTGCAGGTGACTTTCAGTGACCAAAGTGATTAAGGAACTTTCTGTGTAGAAGCAACAGTGAATGCAAAGGCCTTGGGGTGGGAATGGATTCTGCAGGATTCAGGACCAGGAGGCTGCTCCAAGGTGGCTGAGAGTAGGAGTGCTGGGGGATAGGGGAGAGGAGGGCAGTAGATGGGTGGGCCAGACTACAAAGTACTGTGCAGGCCACAGGGGGAGTCTGGTTTTCTTCTGAATGAGATGAAGAGTCCTGGTGTGTTCTGAATAGGGGAGTAATGGGACCTGGTGTCCATGATGTTCCCTCTGGCTGCTCTGTGGGGAGCAAAGCTAGACCCAAGCTAGGAGACTCCCACAGGCATCCAGGCATGGCTGGGAGACAAAGCTGGTTTTGGATATAATATGAGGGTAGAGATGACAATATTTGTTGGTGGATCCATGTGTGAACCCAAGGGGCTGATTCTACCTGGCAGGTTTCACAGCAATAATGCAGGAAAAGAATCTGGGCCTTGACCAGTGTCCAGGAGCTTGGTGAGCAACTGAAGAGAGGTATGGTGGCAGGAGGTATAAGTGAGGAGCTGGGCGGGGAGGCCAGGCCAGGCTGGGGAGCTCCAGAACTGGGATAGATATGGCTGGCAAAGAGAGCCTCTGAATGGCTTTACACAGGGAAGTGACTAGACTTGGAGTGACCTCTCTGACTGCACACAGCCAGTATACTGTACATCTGCTGGTATGAATCCCTTGCCAATTGAGAATTTGCTGGCCCTTGGCCAGTCTCACCAGTATAGTGAGGCCCTTCCCATCTCCAATATGCCCTTGGGGGTCCTGCCAGGCAGTGTGGTCCTAGATCTATCTATCTGCTCCTTCACAAAGCTTCCATATTGACTGAAGAAACACATACACGCATGTCCTGCTAGGTGTCACACACAATGACCTGCTGGGTGAAGGGACAGACGCAGGGGGGTAAGTTGTTAGTGCTGCCCACCCACTGCCCCCACCCCCACCTGCCTCCCCTTGTGGCAATGAGGGGGCCACATAATGTGCTTTGGCCAATGCCCTGTGAGCAAAAGAGGTGCTTGGCACTTCCTGTGGGAGCATCATCATCTCCTACAGCACCCTCTCTTGCCACTGAGAACCCGGAAACTAATACTCAAAGGATATCTCTGCCCGTCTTGGCCCTAAGAGACTTGATGAGCAGAGCCCTAGCCAACCTAATAGACACTGCCTTGACAGAGAAATTAACTTGTGCTGTGTTAGTATGACAGAGCACACACTGGCAGAGAAGGGTTAGTCCCAGCTGGGGAAACTGAGTCGTTGGGTGTCATGATCCATCCCAGGGCACAGACACAGGTGGTGGGGCTCCAGTACCCTCCCCAACTGTGGCTTTTCTTTCTCTTCCTATGAAGGTACCACAGGCCTCTGTAAACTTCCATCTGGGACTCTGGGCTTTAAGAAGCAAAGAGGGCTCATCTGACTCTAGACTCTCAGTGTCTAGCAAGGGCCTGGCCTACACAGAGCATGCCCAAACAAAATGTGCTCTGTATCCAGGCGTGGGGACAGAAGCAACTCAGAGAATGGCTGCCTTACACTGTGTCACCAGGACTGTTTTAAAACCTTCCAAGATCTTCCAACCCCTGCAGGATGAGTTCTGGACTTCTCAGTCCTTTGATTTACTTCTTCATTCACTCCACAGTTATTGAGCGCCTACTTGGGGCCAGGTACTGTTTTAGCACATTTATGTCCAAATAAAGTCCCCATCCTTGAAAACATGCATCCTAGTTGGAATGTGATAAGGGACGGAGATAAACTCCCACGATACAGAGGTACTCACAGCACAGGGGTCAAGGGCATTGCTTTAAGAGCCAGAAGCCTGGGTGCAAATCTCAGCTCCACTAACTAGCTGAGTGACCTAGGGCAAGTTACTTAACCTCTCTGTGCCTTACCTTACCACATGTATAATGGGGACAGCAACAGTACACATAACAGAGTTACTGTGAAGATGATATGTTAATGCCCTTGAGCTTCAGAAAATATTGGTTATAAAGTGAAAAGCAAAGGGCCGGTGATAGGCAAAACTAAATCAAGGTCCTGCCACAGTGACCTAGAAAAGGCCTGGACTTTAGTGAGAAGAGGCAAGGAGGGACAATCAGGAAAGGCCTTCTTGGGAAGGTGGCATTGAACTGGGAGCCAGGAAAAGGAACCCTGCAAGAAAGAGAAGCCAATGCAAAAGCCTTATTTGACAGATAACAAAAATGAGGGCATAGAAAGGTCAAGTAACTCAGCTCCAGGCTGCCCAGCAAGAGTGCCTGGATTTTTAACCAACTCCTTTGCACTAAGAGGTGCCTAAAATTCACTCTACCCTCCTCATCCCATCGCTGCTACTGGAAATCCACTCTGTCCAACTCTTTTGATCCGGCTCTCCCCGATTTCTCTGTGGATTACCACCAATTATTCTTTTTCTAGATTTTCTTTCTTTCACCCTCTAAGGGCCCGGCATCAAAATGTGCCAAGTGTGACAGTTTTGCCATCTACACCTGACTCGCTCTGCATCCTGGGCCCTGCTGTCTCCTCACAAGGTTTTGGCAGGACAGGCCTAGTGAGAGTCTGCAGCCCCACTCTCCTTATCTGCCAACAGCCTAGGCAGGCATTTCCATGTCAGCTAATGATTCAGACTCAGCTGTGACAGGCGAACACATGCAGACCACAGCAGTGGCTTTCCTCAAAGCATTTCCCCTCCCTGGGCTATGAGCAGTCAGTGGCGATGCTGAACTTCTGGGGTTCTCATGAGGCTGTACACGGTACTTAAGGATCACCAATTTGCTGTAACCAAATGCTGAGTGCTCTGTCTGCTCTTTTCCTAGCAGGAGCCTGGGGAGTCACAAACGGGCTTATTTTAGTTGCTTGAGCAGCTGAAAAGTGGAAGTAGACAGCTGCCCAGCACCTTCCTGCCAGGCATCTGATTTCCCACCCCAGCTCGAGCTCCATCCCCTGACCCAGCAGGCTGACCTCACTTCCAGCCTGGCCAGACAGAGCCTTGTATCCTGCCGACCACAGTGAGTAGTTCAGAGAATAGCCAGCAGTGCCAATAAGGGAGGAGGGTCTTTTTGCCTGATAGGGTTACCCTGAGGTTGGCCCTCCTGCACTGGTGGGGAGATCAGCGGGGAACGGGGCCGACTCTGGGGAAAATGGCTAAGAGATGGCGGGACCGACTCTGGGGAAAATGGCTAAGAGATGCCCAACAGCTTTTCAGGTGCATGAACCATAAGGACTCTTTGCTTAAACCAGTTTGATTGTGTTCCTGTTACTCTAACAGAGAAGGCTCTGAATAACACAGACCAACACAAGGGTCTGCATACCTACAGTGCCTAAGGATCCTCTGAGGTCAAGAGGCCAAGCTACCCTGGTGACTGCTCTCAGGCTGGCCGCAGGAGTGGGATGGACTCACCAAGTTCAGAGGGACAACCCTGCATGCCTGGAAGTGCCTCTCATTTTGGCAACCCAGGCTCAAATTCTTCCAATGTCCTACAAAGCAGCAGCCACCTTCCATCTGCTCATACACTTCCAGGACTAGCAAGCTCACATTCTCCTCAGGCTATTTTATCCAGTTCTGATTTTTACAAAGTTCTTTCTGATACTGAGAATGCAAGCTGAACCTAGCTGCTGGGGTCCTTCTTGCACTTATCCCAGAGGGAAGGTAGAAGGATGACCCTCTAGTATGGCTGATACACTGTGCAGGACCTGCCTTGACACTGCCTTCTGCCCTGAGGGACTTGACACTAGTCAAGTCCCTGGGAGAGGGTTACGGACCCTTGGATCTCTGAGGACCCTTGGATCTCTGAGGGCCGTAAGGGCTACCAGCTGGAGGAGTAGCTCATGTTGAAGTGAATGAGACCCCAATCTCCATAGTAGCTCAAAATATTCCTAAGAAAGCTGGTTGTTTAAACTGTCAACATTACCAGCAATGACAAAAAGCTTCAGGACCCATCAGAACCCTGGGGCCAGCATTTCTGGTTCTGTGGCCTCAAGCTGGGCCTGGACCTCTCTGAGCCCTGGCTCCCTAAAGCCAAGCTTCACAAGATTACTGTGAAGATTCAAGGAGATGACACACATGAAATGTTCGACACAGTGCCTCACATATATCTATACAGGCTATCATCATTGTAATTTTCATTAATCACAATAAACATGTTATATTCAAGGAGCACGAAGTTGGAGTTAGCAGATCAGGAACCCAACCCCAACTCTGCTGTTTACCAAAAGAGGCTGGTCAAGCCCTGCTTGCTCTTCTCACAGGCAATGCACAACTGACTCCCGTGGTTGTTGGAAGGGTGAAATCTCAGAGCACCCTCCAGACCCACAACAGTGTTCTCTGCCTCCATCCTATAGCAGCTCCAGCAGGCAACAGGCACGCAGAAAGGAAAAGCAGGCAGGGTGACACTTGGCTGCTGGAGGGCCCCAGGAGCTAGGTATGAATAGAGGAGAGGCCTGCCTCCCAATGCAGGCTCTAGCCCAAGCTGGAGTTCCAGCACACTATCACACCAAGTGGTTGCTGAGGCCCTGCTTACATGCTCCTTAGAGAAAAGGCGATCTTATGAGGGCTCCTATTTTATCACAGGGCAACTCTGGGAATAAGGACACTCGTCGCAGGTCCCTAAAAAAGTGCCCAGAATGTAGGAGGTGTTCAATAAATATTTGCTGAATGAATAAAAGCAAAAACTCATGTTCAAGTAGGAATGAGATGAAATTTCAAGTCAGTAGAAAAAGGATAGACTATTCAATAAACTGTTTGGAGACACCTGGCTAATTCGTATAGAACAATAAAAGCTTGCCCCCTCACCTTGTACCAGGCTCCAGAACAAATCCCAGGTTATACTCCTGAAGAGTATAAAACAAAACTATAAAGGCATTGAAGAAAATTAAAATTACATTTATGACTTGGAGCAGATCTTTTAAAATACAACATAAAAAATAAATTAATAAAAAAACACTGATGATTTGACTAATTAAAATTAAAAATTTCTTACACAGCATGGTGACTACAGTATACTGTATTGTATTTTGAAAGCCAATGAGAGCAGATATTAAAAGTTCTCACAAGAAAAAAAAAATTGGAACTATGTGTGGTAATGGATGTTAACTAGACTTACTGTGGTAATCATTTCCCAATATATACAAATATTGAATTATTACATTGTACACCTGAAACTGAGATAATGTTACATGTCAATTATATCTGTTAAAAATGCAAAAAAAAAAAAAAAAACCAAAAAAATTTAAACCTTCTGTTGGAGGAGAAAGCATAAACAAAGTTAAAAGATGTATAATTAAAAACCACTGAATTGTACCCTTTATAGGGTGAATTGTATGTGAATTATATCTCAAAAGTAA